TTTCCAGCCTGCCTTGGGCTACAATGTCCCTTTGAAGTCGAGAAACAGTCTCTTATTATCCTCATTGTAGAAGAGGGCAGGGGAGTTGAGGGTGGAGAGGCCGGTGACTTGCCCAAGATCTTCCTGTAAATTTATATTCTGACTTACCAAAACCAGCCACAAAACTAAGGGGAAAAAAAAGCCACACAAACTCTGAGAAAAAACAAACAAACAATACAAAACAAACCAGCCACAAAACTTCTCTGAGAAGAGTGATGGGTATGCATGTGTTGGGGTGTGTGAAATCAAACTTCTTATGTTACAGTGAGTAGTACCCTGGGAGGCCCCGCTGCCCCGTACCTGCCAGTTCTCTGCCACTTAGGTCAGTTCCCCGGGATAATCTAATTGTCTATCTTGAGCTCTAGTGTCTTAAGCCATAAAAATATCGGACATGTCAATATTCAGAGACCCAAACTGCTCCTAGACTGTTACCTGTCAAGAAATGTGATGTATCATTCATTTAGCTCGTGTGTGTGTGTGTGTGTGTGTGTGTGTGTGTGTGTGTGTGTGTGTGTGTTACAATCTAGTTGCCATAATTTCCACTGTCAAAAAAACTGCTGGCCACTTCTGAGGAATGGGCATTCTAGGAACTGCTGTTCCCACTGCCGGGCATTGCTAGTATGTCCCCACTCAGACTTAAGTTTCCCAGAGCGGGCACCTACTTCTCAGACTGCTTAACAATGTTGACTTCTAAAGAAGGCTAAGTAGCCCAGCGGCCAAGTAGGAGGCTTTATTGCTCCATGGGAGTGGGTGGGGAGAGAATCAAGGAATACTGGGTGTGAGAGATGACCCGCTTTGCTCATGTCCCAACACTGACCCATTGTGCAAGATCTAGGACAATACCCACACTCTTGAACTAGATACCGTCTTTATCCTGCATACCTGAAGCCAGACCAACGTTCACAATAGAGCTTTGGAATCTAAGCTCGACACTGTTCCAGGTTTACAAGGAAATGCTGTTTGTCTTGTACTCAGGCCAATTGTACGGCTCTCTACAGGACAGCTGGCTCCCCATCCACCTCCAGGGGACTGGTTCACATCTAAACAATGTACTTGTCTCAGAAAAATCTAAACCCATGGAAAACAACTGTTCATTCACAAAAACAAGGGAAGGAATAAAGAACTAGGTAACGGCAGAAGCAGGAGACAAAGCTAAGACACTTGGCCTGTGGTTGAGACGGGACATGCAGCAGATACAGTTAGGCACCAATTCCTAGGTGATGATCCGAGATCTAAACAGAATGTCGAGGCTAATCCCAGTACTTAGGAGGCAGAGATAGGTGGACTACCGAGTTCAAGGCTAGCCCAGTCTACAAAGAGAATTTCGGGCCAACCAAGGCTACCTAGTGAGACTCTGTCTTAAAAAACAAACAAAACAAATAAAAGAAAATAAACAGAATGTCAACTGAGTCTTTGAAGACATTTAGTGTCTTACAAAAGTTTTGTTACATCACTACTTTTAATTACTTTGGCAGTAAAACTGTATTTTTTTTTTCTGTGCTCAGTATTTTTATTCAGTTAGGTTAAATTAGTGAACTGCAGAGTCACAGAGCAAGGATCTAGTAAGTGCCACTGTGTGCATGGTCTTTGTTAAAGACCAGTGTTTCAAAACTTACTTTTGGTTAGGTATTTCACCAGACATTATCAGCTACATGTGGGTAAGAATCACTTCTCACTACATATCTAGTCAGCTAGGATTACAAACTGGTAGCCATTTCCCCCTAAAATTTAAACCATCATTTTTCTTGGATCAATGACTTCACTCACCTGCTCTGGACTCCTGTAGTCAGGAGCACATGCAGACTACCTATTCCTGTTGCCACCCCAGATGAGAAAAATACAATTAGACACACAGCATTCCACCTCAGCCAAAGAAGGGTCTTTTTCCTTTTTCTTTTTTTAGTGTGTGTGTGTGTGTGTGTGTGTGTGTGTGAGAGAGAGAGAGAGAGAGAGAGAGAGAGAGAGAGAGAGAGAGACAGAGACAGAGACAGAGACAGAGACAGAGAGAGACAGAGAGGGAGGGAAGGAGGGAGGGAGGGAGGGCGAGCATATGAGAGTACAGAGGCCTTTAGAGGCTAGAGGCATTAGATCCCTTGAAGCAAGTTACATGCTGGAAATTGAACTTGGGCCCTCTGGAAGAGAAAAAGTGTTCTTAACCACTGAGCCATCTCTCCAGTCCCCAAAGAGGTATCTTTCTTATACACTTGAACAGAAAGGGCATATATATGAGTGTGCACACTCTCTTCCACACATACTTTAAGAGCTAAAACATTACCAATTACACACACACACACACACACACACACACACACACACACACACTTCCTTGCTGTTCCTTAGATAACTTAATAAATCATCATTCCAGTGTCTGCGTAGAGCACTAAGTCAAGGCAAACAATCATTTCTAACGTTTTGTTATCACACTTAAAGTAACTATTTGCTTTACTAGGCTGGAAACCCTGGCTATACCCTCCAGCTCCCTGTCCACAGAATTAGCACAGCTTGTATTCCACAATATTTGTCCAGTACTTCACTACTGAAACAGGGAGCACACCCCAGAGTACAGATTTCTCCTGGCAGTGGCCCAGTCAAAGCATGTTAAAATGGGTAGCTGTCCACTGGGCTGAGAGAATGGAGGGAAAGAGAAACATACCATCAAGATCAAGGAGTGTTTAGCTACTACATTTTCTCAAGAACAACGCTCTGTATTTGTTGTATGAATACTTGTCAGTGCTGAAACCTTCAGCGTGGAGGACAACTGCAAAAGTCAACACCTGTTTCACAACAGGGCCAAGAGTTCACAGCTGAGTTTTGAAACCTCAATGCACACATTCATGTTAGGATGCTGTCTGCAAAGCTTCAGAATTCTAAGAGGGGAACAACGCAAGGGAACACATGCACGAATCAAGAGATCCTGTTTAAAACCCTGGAGATTATTGCTCCATGTTCCAATGGACACACTGATCACAGACTGTATCGCAGAGGTGGCAGGCTGTGCTGATAGGAGGCTGATCGATAGACACAGCTTCTGAAAATGAGCCAGAAAGCAGACAGACCACTAGCTCAGTGTTGACAAACACTGCCCTCTATTGGCAGAGAGCAACTGCGTAAAGTCAAGCTGATTGTTTTCAATAGCCATCTTTGAGACAGGGTCTATTATGTAGGTCTGGATATCCAAGAACTTGTCCTCTTCTGATCTCAGCAGGCACACATGAATGTGATGCAGATATACATGCAGGCAAAACACTCATACACATAAAATAATACAATAGATAATTTTTGTTCAATAGATAAATCTTTTTTTTTTTGATAATTTTTTTTTTTAAAGATTTATTTATTTATTATGTACACAGTGTTCTGCCTACATGCATGCTTGCAGGCCAGAAGAGGGCACCAGATCTCATTATGGATGGTTGTGAGCCACCATGTGGTTGCTGGGAATTGAACTCGGGACCTCTGGAAGAGCAGCCAGTGCTCTTAACCTCTGAGCCATCTCTCCAGCCCCTCAATAGATAAATCTTAAAAAATTCTATTGACCAACTTTAACCTGGTGTATACAACTCCATTAAGAATATAAAATTTTGCTGGGCAGTGGTGGCGCACGCCTTTAATCCCAGCACTCAGGAGGCAGAGGCAGGAGGATCTCTGTGAGTTTGAAGCCAGCCTGGTCTACAAAGCAAGTTCCAGGACAGCCAGAACTCTGTTACACAGAGAAACCCTGTCTCGAAAACCCTCCCAAATTATGTATCTATATCTATATCTATCTATCTATATCTATCTATCTATATCTATCTATCTATATACACATATATGTATGTATGTATGTATGTGTATACACACACACACACACACACACACACACACACACACACACATATATAAAGTTTTAGCCGAACAGTGGTGGCACACGCCTTTAATCCCAGCACTCAGGAGGCAGAGCCAGGCAGATCTCTGAGTTCAAGGCCAGCCTGGTCTACAGAGTGAGATCTAGGACAGGCACCAAAACTACACAAAGAAACCCTGTCTTGGAAAAAAAAAAAAAAGTTTGCCAGGCTGCGGTGACTCTTACTTTTAATCCCAGTACTGGGGAGGCAGAGGCAGGCAGATCTCTGAGTTTAAGGCTAACCTAGCCTACAGAGTGAGTTAGGGCAGCCTGGGCTAAACAGAGAAGTCAAAAAACAAACAAAAAACATACCTTTAATCCAAGCACTCAGGAAAGGCAGGTGGATCTTTGTGAGTTCAAGGCCAGCCTGGCCTACATAGTGACATCCAGGACAGCCTGAGCTATGTAGAGACCTTGTCTAAATACGTCTAAATAAGTATTTATTCATGGAAGATACAATAATGGCAAACATTTGTCTATTTCGACAATCCAGTAAGAGAAAAAGTTGGTGGGGGTGCCCAAATAGCAGTCTCTGACCAATTCTAAAGCGGGATCATGCACCATGCTCCCCATCCCAGCACATCACAGACAGGTCCATGGTTCTTTACCCTTGGGGAGAACCTTTCCCCTTAGAAAGTGACTATGATGTCAGTAGCTTGTCTGGTATTATGTCTGTTACAAGATGGCTCAGTGTAGTTCTGGGGGTTATTTGGCACTGTACAGAAATGTGTTGTGTGGGCATAAAAAGCACGAATTTTCATTATACATCTGATTGTTGAACTTCAATTGCCCTTCTCACTTTTGGAGATGAGAAAAACTGCAAACCAGAGTTCCTCACATACCCAACCCCTCTTAATCAATCAAAATTAGTCAATCTACTGTCTTTTAGTTCAATGTTCCAAAATATTGACTTCTGAGGCAAGATATGAATTCCCTTTTCAACAGGCGGTCAATGAACAATTTGGGAACCAGCTGTCCACTCTTCAAGTCAGACGAATAGTGAGTAGTGATGGGCCAAGGTAACTAAGGGTCGGTGGATTTGCTTTGACTATCCCAAGAAGCACACAGAGCACACATCTGGGTTACAAAAGCCCTTTTATAAAGCCATTTTAAAACAAAACAAACCAAAACGTTTACAAAAGAAAAGAAAGATACAGAAAATAACTTGCTTCATATGTCCCCAAAAAGAGAAAAAAATAAAGGGGACAATGCCAACATGCTCAACAATATGGGGTACTTTTTTTTTTTTTACTTTTTTTTAAATACAAAATACAAGCAAAGGAAACACATATTTAAAACAAAGTTCAGGAGAAGACAGCAGTCCTGGAAATCCTCCAATCAGAGCAAAGCAAGAGTTTCTTTTTATGTAGATACATACAGATGGGGATATGTAAAAATGAAGTATCACATTAGACCATCACACAATTCTACCAATGCATGTTGCATCTATAATTCACAAACATGGTTAACAAATTCATGTTCACTTCAACTCGGTTTCATTTAAATTAAAGGAAAAAAGCTTTAAATAAAGTGGTTACATTCAAACTTTAACTTCCTTAGTACCGTGCTGCACATTTCAGCACTGCTAAGGTATTGCAAGAATGCCCAACCCTCTGATGTCTGATCATGTGTCTAGCCACACTGCAATATGAAAAAAAGGATGCCTGGCTCTCAGGCCATAGCCTAGGCTACAGTTAGGCTAGCTCTCTGACTCCTCCTGCTCAGAACATGAAAGATTAAGGACTAAAATCAAGGAAGACTGGGAGGTTTTAGAACTGGCAAATGAAGTCTAAAAGATGAATCAAGGCAAACAATTACTGAGATTGTGGCTGCTGCGTAACCTGGTAAGTCACTCCTTGCAGGAATTAAGCATGTAAGGTTTGCTGCAACATGTCCATGGTAAACCGACTACGTAGAGCTCTTATTTACAAATCTTGTAACAAATACTTCCAGAGGAAAAAGGAAAAAAATTCACTAACTTCCAGAAGACAAAGGTTTAATTGCCAGACATTTACAAACACACACTCACACATACCCACACCCACACCACACTTCAGGGTTTTATACATGTTATTTTTAGGGCATGACTGAGTACTATACTCCCAACCCATCAAAAAAGGAAGGAAAAAAAAAATCCCAATTTACCCTCCCCCCAAATCTAGAAAACCCTCCCTCACCCGATATACAAAGTGTCTGCACAACTGTGGTGCTCTACAGCCATGTAGAGCATGCTCAAACAGATGTCACCGGTTCAGTTACTCATTGGCATGGCAATAGATAGGCATATGGGACCCCCCTCCCCAATAGTGGTTATTACAATCAGCACCACTGTGAATTAGGCTTTAAACCAAAGTATAATTAATGGATTTGATATTCAGAATCATGTATTTTGTTTCCTAAGACAAAGGGAAAATGAGATTGAAATAAGAACATGGCTATCGATAGCTTGACATCCCAATACTAAAAAAAAAAAAAAACCCAATAAACTCCCCATCTTCAAGTAACTCAGCAGCTTCCTCTGGAGAGAAAATGACAATACTCCACCCCCAGGAGCAACCAGTGGCTTTAAGTTCCCTCTGGCGGAAGTGCTCACTGCCTGTTTTTGATCTCCCTCTAAACACCATGAAGAGCCTATCTTGGATTTCTTCCTACCCATTCACAGGTGGCAACGTATTCAGTGTAGCTTCCGGTGCTACAGGTAAAAAGAACTGTTCTAACAGACACTCACTCCACAACACCAACAAGGCTTTCCGTTGCTTCTAAATTCTGCTCTTGTAGCAGCCCCTAAACCTGAGTTTGTTTACACTACTCCCCTCTCCAACCTGTAGGCTGAAAGTTCACCTGCCACCTACACGTTCATGGTCATAAAATTAAAAAACCTATCTTAAAAAAGTGTCACCTGTCATGGTGGCATTATTCCCAGCAGTATTAAGAGTGGAGGGGGAAGGACTCCCAGCCAGGCTACACAGTAAAACCATGTTAAAAAAAAGTCAAGTTCAGCTGACTATATCCATCAAAAATCTTACTAGATTATAACCTCAAATTTTACTACTGATTGGTTATCTGGAAGAAAACGCTATTTGAACTAGTACCAAATAGAAGTATTTTAAGACTGAAATATAAGTTGTTTTGAAAAAAACCAAACAGGAGTTTAAATGAGGCAGCCTAGGGCACACAAAATGCTGTGTTTTGTTTTACTTTTTAAAGAAAAGGTGTTTGGTGGGGGATTGATTCTCTTACCATTCTAGAAGAAACATCCTACTATTAATTTTTTCTTTGTAAGGTTAATTCTGAGTGGGAGGTATTTAAAATATATCCATCTGAGGTGGAGGGTTAAAAGCAGCAGTACGTTACCACTAGGGGAGACAGAGGCTTCCATTTCTGGGTGGGGGAAGAGAAAGGCTTTAAAAAGAGCCTTGAGAACTTGTAGTGTTAGCCAGCAAAGCTGCTGCAATCCGTTAGAGGTAAACCCAGCAGAGACGCGATAACAGACAGGCACCTTCAAATGAACACCCCCATTTCCTGAGCACTGCAAAGCAAGACAGTGAATGCATTACCACCTCACTATAGGCACACAGGGGGGAAAAAAGGCAGACAGTGAGCCACGGAGGTGCCCAGCGCCAGTCATTAAGAGCCTACAGCTGTGACCTATCTGCTGTCGTTATTAGACCTAACTGCTAAGCACCTGTTTCCAGTTGAGTCACATTAAATGTCTTCCTATTTGCATGCATGATTTGAAGGAAGACAGTGTTATAAACAATGAAGTGAAAGCAAAGGTCATTCATTCAGAGCCCGTGTGCTCACTTGAGACACCAATCAATCTAACCAGCCTGTGATTAGAAAATATACTTTTCAAGCTAATGAATTAGTTTTAAAAGGGCCTCTAAACAAGAAGCCCAATCAGACACAAGTAACCTACAAGACAGTATTATTTCTCAATTACAGGTAGATAAAATCAGAGGTTAGTGCAGATTAATATATTAAAGAGACTTTAAAAACTGAGGCTAAGTTGAAAGATGCCCTACCCACAAATTCTCATGAAGCATGACCTACGAGAAGCCCAAACATCACTAGGAATGTAAGACTGAGTTGTAAACCCCTAAAAGGGAGAGATGCCTGGTGGAAACAACGGTGAGTCTCCTCTTTGCTTAAGGATGAGTACCTGAGCAAGCCCACTAAAGCAAACAGATAATCTGAAATACCCCACGACACAGCTCACAACTCTACTTCCATTCCATAATACAATAATCCAACCACTTATGTTCAAGTTTCTAGTTTTGGCCATATTTAATACTCATTTATTAACAGTGCAGGGTTGAAATGACTCTCTGCCACTAGGTGTTTTATTTATTTATTTTATTTATTTTAAAGCAGATCTAAGAATGTTCTTTAAAGTGTCTTAAAAACTTGAGTAAAAATATTTCTTAAATAACCCTTTGTCCTATGAACACCTATAAGAAAATGACATTGTCTGAGACAAACATGTCACTTAAAAAACACAAAAGCAGAATACTGAGGGAGCAAAGTCAGCTTAAGTGCAGAAAAATACACAGAAATTAATTCCACTAAATCTTTAATTTAGTAGCATAATAGGACCCCTAAACTTTGCTTCTATTGGTACATGGGATCTGAATGTGGAGGATCAAACCTATAGATCTATGTCCTGATGCTCTGTTAAGGTGTCTAGACTGTTATCAATGGCACAAAGGCACCCTAAAATAGTTCACTAATCCTGCTCTTGCTTTAAGAAACATGAACAGAAAGGAGGGGCTCAGAACAACTAAGAGGCAAAACAATTCCACAGTATGGAAGCAGCATTTAACATACTCCCATGCTGTCAGTAAATGAAAATAATATTCCATGGTAGAACTTCGAGAACTTGAAGTAGCAGGATAAAGTTGTGAGATGTGTTATCATAGTATGTTACTATGAAGAAAAGATTTAAATATCAAAAGGAAACTGTTTCTATCCCCAAATAAAACCGGCATGGTTCATGGGCCCTTGAAAACATTTATAGCATAAAAGAATTTCAATTATCTGTATGCATAAAGGATAAATCTCAATCCTTTACATTTTAGCTTCACATTAACTCAAACTTTATTGGCTTAAAACTTTAACATCATCAGCCTATAAAGAAATGCACTGTGAGGTGTACACTCATCTTGTCATCAAAATTCTAGAGAATCTTTTTAATTTTTTGATCAGTGGTAAAATTCTATCCAAAAAAACAGGATATATATAATATATATATATTTTAAAAAACATGAATCGATGAAAACATGAATGAAATATGAAATTAATGATGATTCTGGGTTCTGGTGGCCCATTGTTTAAAAAGACTGTTATTGGGACAAAAGGACCACTGGCTCCAAGTCTCTGAGAATAACAAGTATAAAATAAGAAAGCCCACACTTGCAGACAAGCTCCAGGAAGTCTATTCCCTCCACACCCAGAGGATAACGTGAGTTAACAACCCAGAATTCATGTTCATCTCCAACTGCCTCATCAGCCTAAGTTTAGAGTCATGATTCTTTTTGACATTTACACTTTAGACATATAAGCTCATGTTAAATGACAACTGGTCTGTCAAAAGTACAGGAAAAAGAACAATAATTTTCAACTAAAACCTTCCTAGTTTTTCTGATTATTGTTCAAGTTGCTATTCTTTAGCAAAAAGCAGTTTCCATAGCGTCCATCTCAAATCTTATTGCTTTACAGCTGTGGGATTCCTAACTTCCATTAAAAATACAAAGACAAGCAGTCAACCCAGTGATTAATTGACATGGCTTTCATTGGGAGAGGGGGAGGGAGGGGTTGGCAAAGAAAGAAGACCATTAGACAAAATGGCAACTTAAACATTTCAACATACAATAGTTTTGAGAGTGAAAGAGAAAGAGAGATAGAAACATTATTTTAGACAAATGAAATAGCACTGAAAGCCCATGAGTCAAGCCACAGCCCAAACCGTGTCCTATGTAGGTTTCCTTTTTTTTTTTTTTTTAATAAAATCTCTCCCCAAACATCACTTTTAATCTTCCCCAGATGGGGCTTCATCTTCAGACCCTTCATCTCCAGACTTCTCAAGTGGAGGGCTTGCAGAGGTCTTCTTTTCTGGAGGGCTTTCTGCTTCCTCATCCTCTTCTTTGGGAGAAGGAGTTTTTTCCTTTGATGCCTTTGAAGCCGTGGGACGACCCACTTTTCCTTTGCCTTTCACTGGACTGGGCGTCACTGAAATACAGAAAGTAACAATTTGGAGATGGAAAGAGAAAAAAAATGCCTTAACCATGGTATGAAGAGATGAGTAAAAGTTTAAACAGTAAGAAACTCATGAATTGTATTTGCCAGAATAAAACTATAAGCAAATCTAGACTTCTGATTTAATAAACTAGCTCCAACTAGGAAAGTACCTGGCAGAAAAACGCTTGAAGACCCAAAAGATGAATCCTTATTGTCAAGGGTGGTTTTGATTTTACTGTCAGTATTGTTTTATCTGACAGAACAGAGGCCCTCCCTGGCTGCTGGGACCAACCACAGAGCAGTCAGTACTACGTGAGCACAGAGGCCACTATGCCTGATTTGTGTCATTCCCATATTCAGGAATCCAAGTCCACAGTTTTTCTTTTTCTTTTATTTTCTTATATTTATTTCTATGTGCACTGGTGTTTTGTCTGCATGCATGTCTATGTGAGGGTGCCAGATCCCCTGGAACTGGTGTTATAGACAGTTGTGAGCTGCCATATGGATGCTGGGAATTGAACTGAGGTCCTCTGGAGGAATAGCCAGTGCTCTTTATCACTGAGCCATTTGCCAGCCCATTTTTTTTTACTTTTTTCAAGATTTTATTATTTTTAATTATGTGAACATGTGTGTGCCTGTGTGTGTGGGGGGGGGTATGCACATGTGTGTAGGTGCCTATTAGCTGTGGACATGAACTTGGGTCCTCTGGAAGACCAGCCATCATCTTAATCACCAAGCCATCTCTCCAGCCCCCAGCAGTCTTGAAGGGACCAAAGGCAAATGTGAAAGCCTTTTGGATTTCTTGTACTTCTACCAAATCCAAGGCCAATGCCGAATTCCCAACAATGAACAATCTATGTTGAGAAGTTTAGTTATTAAAAAGTCTAAAGGCAGAAATGTGGTTTACTTTCACAGGCCTTACCCGTAGCCTTTAGTCTGGGCTTGGGCATTTTCTTTTCTTTTCTCTCGGGTCTGGACTTCTTAACCATCTTTCTGTTTTTCTTCTTGGAACTGCCATAGTCACTGTCGTCATCATCCTCCATCAGGAAGTCTTCATCGCTGCCAGAATCTTCTGAGAGGAAAGAAGAATTTCAACGTCCAACTTAAATGTATACATCCTTCCAAGTGAACAGAGGGAGAGAGTGAGTGCTGAGAATGACTGGACTCAACAAGAGGTCCACTACCAACCGGGTTGGAGCTGCCCTGGCCCACTGGAGAATGAGTATAGTGTGGACACAATATCTTGGAGTAGGAAGAAACTCCTTTTAAAAGTTCAGGATTGGATAGATTTACTGCCAAATTCTACTGATTTGTTAAACAAAAAAATTTAATTTTTCACTTATATAAATATACAAGTGTTAGGGATGCTCTAGAAGAGGATGTTGGATCCTTTGGAGGAGGAAAAGCTAAGCCATGTCTCTATCCTTTTAGTTTTATCTTTTTGTTTTGTTTTAGAGACAGGATCTCACGATGTAGCTCTGGCTGTCCTAGAACTCACCACTCTAAACCAGAGGAGACCCACCTGCCTCTGCCTCCTGAGTGCTAGGATTCTAGGTGTGTCACACCACACCAAGATACACAGTTCTATCTTTTAACTGGTAGCATCTGCTTAATGCAAGGAACTGAATGAAACATTTAGCATCTTAGAAAACGCTAAGGTCATTAACTACAACTGCAAAGAAGGACAGAACCGCAGATGAAGCTCCATTGACTCAAAGTACTCCACTGAGTACTTGCCTAGCATGCACAAAGCCCTGGGTTAGACCCTCACTTCTCTATAAAACTGGAAGGGGTGCTGCAGGCAGACCAGTAGTTCAAGGTCATCCTTAGCTATACAATAAATTGAGGCCAACACGGGCTACAGGAGAGCCTGTCTAAACAAACAAAGAACAGTTGGTAGCTTCACGTACTCTCCTGGAATGGTGCCTCATCATCTTCTTCTGGCTCTTCCTCACTGCCAACATCTTCCAAGAGCATCTCTCTCTGTTTAGAAGCTGCTTTTGACGCTGCCTGTCGTTGCTGGCGAACATTCTTATGATCATCTTTTTCATCTTCACTGTCATCTGCGATATAAAAGTTACTGTGATACAACAGTCTGCTGACAGAGGATAGAGTAACAGCTTAACTTCATTAAAAAAGGAATAAAATCTATCCTTAAAAATTCCTTAAAGTAGCTGAGTAGTGGTGCACGCATTTGATCCCAGCACTCGGGAGGCAGAGGCAGGTGGATCTCTGTGAGTTTGAGGCCAGTCTGGTCTACAGAGTGAGATCCAGAATAGCCAGAGCTACACAGGGAAACCCTGTCTTAAAAAAACCAAAAAACAAACAAACAAAAATCCTTAAAGCCAGGCATGGTGGTATACATCTATAGTCCCACCTAGAGAATGAAGAGTACAAGACCTATCTGCACTATATAGAGACCAATTTAAAAAAAAAGAAAACTCCAGCAGGGTCTGTGGGGGCCATAATCAAGCAGGAGGCCCTGCTGGCAGGAAGACATCCATGGGCCCCCTTGGTGCCTTGCAGCAGTCAGGTGGGCCTCATTATAAGCCATTATGTGGTGGAGAAATGGGAGATAAAGAGGAGCAGAATGGTCCATGTGTTGTAAAAAGACGCATAAAGCAAAAAAATGCAGATGGTGAGGAGTAGGCTGATGTTGGAGGCCTGTTTGCCACCTGGGACCATAGTGAAGGTAGTGCGTAGGCTGAGGGCCATGGTGATGTCCCTGCTGGGCTGCTGCCAAGGGCCATATCTGGGTTCCTGTTGCCAACAAGTGCCACGTTGATTCCACTGGTCTGGGCCGCCTCCTGGGGCTGTGTTGGGGTTGTGTGCTGGACATTACAGCAAGAGAGAGATGGCTGAACCCCAGCGAGGGTGAACCGACCCTGAGGGCATGGATGTAGGGGAGCTGACTCCGCCCCCTTGCCTGAGGTGGGTGGCCCCAGTGGCCTGGACTGACCAGCTCAGGTACCACCCAGGCCCACAGCTGGGCCTTGGGGTGACCCATCCTAGCATCTACCCCATCTAGGACCTGCTGGAGCCTGTGAAGGGACCGATTCTGTAGAACAATACCCTCAGGATCTCCAAGACTTGGGGCAGCCACAGGATATCCCAGAGGAGTTCCGGTGAGGATCCAGTGATGACGGTGGACCAGAAACCAGAGGCCTTGAACCAGACCGGTGACTCATTGTAACAACATGTGCTAGTAAAGCTGACTGGACAAAAGGGTGTACTATGTGGGACACCAAGGCCCTCAATGCCATCAGGACAAATCAAGAGGTGTTGGAGAGGCGGGAAAGAAGGAGAGAAACAAAGGCTTGTTGTTTGTTTTGTTCTTATGTTTGCTTGCTTGTTTACTGTGTTTTGTTTTCTTTGGTATGGGGCACTGCAGGGGTGAGGGAGGGATTAAGGGGGGACTGAGAGTGAGCAGAATTGGGGTGCATGATGTGAAATTTTCAAAGAATCAATAAAGAAGTTAATTAAAAAAAAAAGAAAAAACTTGCAAAATATAGAGTGCTAATGTTAAGAACCAACTTAAATTAAAAATAAATGTACTTGTAATATATAAAGACCTGGGTGGCCTCAAAATTACAGAGAACTGCCTGCCTCTATCTATCATGCCTGACATAGGCATGTAGTTTTCAAAAACTGCAAAGCTGAATTAAAACATGAACACTTAAATTTACAACTGTTTAATCCTAAAATTATCAATTACACGTCAATCTACATTTACTGGTTTTAGAAGTTAAAGTAAGAAAAATATTTTAAAATAGAAGCAGTAAGGGGGCCTTTCCAATTATCTTTATCCCAAGATATAAAACATATAAAAACAATGCTAAATTATCACTCCTTACAATGGATTGGATGACCTTTCCAATTTAGAGACAGGCAAAGGGCAATCTTTAAAAACACATTCAAATGAGCTAGATAAAAGTCCGAGGAGGACAAGTTTATAAAAATATACTACAATGAATTAATTAGTGTTTCATTAATACAGTTATTTAGTCTGCTAAATGAAGGCCAAGATGCTAGCCTCCCCGCTCTAGACTAAGCTTTATTTTACCAGTCTCTACTTAGGCTCTTTACTGAACTTTTAGGCTTCCCTACTCTATTAAGGTTTAGCTATCATACTTCTAAAACAGTCCCATAAGCCTGTTTTTCTTCTGAAAAAAACGAACAACCCCAAACCCAAACCCAACCAAACAAAAAAAACCCCCAGGGTGATAGAGAGTTGGCTCTTCAAATAAGAGGACTTGTTGCTTTTGAAGAGGACCCAGATTCAGTTCCTAGCACCTACTTGATGGCTCACAACCATCTGTAACTCCAGCTCCAGAGGATCCAACACCCTCTTCTGTTCTCTGTGGACAGAAGGCATGTACAGGGTACAACCTATACATGTAGCAAACACTCATACACATTAAAATAAAAACAGAGGCCAGACAGTGGTGGCACACAACTTTAATCCTAGCACTCAGGAGACAGAGGCAGGTGAATCTCTGAGTTTGAGTCCAGCCTGGTCTTCAGAGCTAGTTCTAGGACAGCAAGGCTACAAAAAGAAACCCTGTCTCAAACTGCCAAAAACAAAAACCAAAAACAACCCCCAAACCAAAAACATAGCACCTTTTATTTACTCTTTGAGAATAAAAACATATACATAATGCATTTTGATTTTTTTTTTTTTTTTTTTTTTTTTTGAGACAGGGTTTCTTTGTGTACTCTGGCTGTCCTGGAACTCTCAATCTGTTCAAATCTGTTCACCTGCCTCTGCCTTCCATGCTGGATTAAAGGGGTGTGCCACCACTGCCCAGCATGCATTTTGATCTCATCTATCGCCTACTACTTGACACCCAGCCCCCACCTCCCCGTCACTCCCAACACACATCCATACTAATTTCATGGTGTGTGTGAGTTTTAATAAACCAGTAAGTCCAATTAGTGCTGTTCATATGTGAAATATATGAATGGGCGTGAGGCTTTCTATTAGAGCATGAGCAACTTACCAGTGGCCAATTTCCAGTAACTATTAACTGTCAGAGTTCCTAAATTATGGTTGGGGCCTTACAAGGCTCTCCCCCACTTCATGGTCAATGTTTAACCATTTCTAGTGCCAAAGATCTCATCTAGAGACAATTAGAGAATAAAGCTGACTATGGCAAACCCTAAGCTAAAATTGAGTTGGCAAAAGTTGCGCTTAATACAAGCACAGAGTCACACATTTTGAAGTATTAAAAATCTTAATAAAGGTAAGAAACTCAAATTAGGGCTCACAAAGCAAATGAATGCCAAAGCATATTACACTGGTAAAAATGAAAATAGCCGGAAGCAACAAGGAATATAGAAAGCGGTAAGCCATCAGACACGGGTCTGTAAAAGCAGCCAGCACTCTAACTGCTGAGTGAGTCATCTCTAGTCCTTCTATAATTTTTTGACAGGATCTCCTTATGTAACTCCTGGCTGGCTTTGTACTTTGCAGCAATTCTCCTGTCTCAGCATCCAGAATGTTGGTATTAAAGGCATATTCCACCATACCTGATTCACATGAATTCTTTTTTTACAAAATATTTTTTCTATGGCTATTATTTCAAATGATATTTACTTGGTTTGCTGTCATTTCTTTATTCATATAAAAGTTGAACAGCAGTTGGGCATGGTGGCACACACCTTTAATCCCAGCACTGAAGAAACAGAGGCAGTTGGATCTCTGAGTTTGAGGCCAGCCTGGTCCATATGAGTTCCAGGACAGCCACGGTCACATAGTGAGACCCTGTCTCAAACAACAAAACATTTTTTTTATGTGCATTGGTGTTTTGTCTACATGTATGTCTGTATGAGGATGTCCAGTTTCCTGGAACTGGAGCTATAGACAGATTAAGCTGCCATGTGGGTGCAGGGAATTGAACCCCAGTTCCCTGGAAGAGCAGCCAGTGCTCTACTGCTGAGCCATTTCTCCAGCCACCATAATAAAAAGGTCTTAATCTCAATTTTGCATGAAAATAACCGGTACATATTACCTGTGTAAAAATATAAACATTCCTGTAATTCCAGTATTTGAAAGTATCTGACATACAAAACCGTGTTAATAAATGAGTATATGAATTATTCCTACTGCAATAAATATAGTTTACCTGCTGAGTGAGAATCATCCTTCTTAGTCTTCACATCTTTTTCTTCTGAGTCTTCACTGTAAGGAAAAAAGAAAGAGAAAATGCTTGTGAGTCTTAGCTCCAAGTCTAAATGATCGATGGACAGGGTGGCTACACTTGTACTCCAGCAGTAGGACTGACACAGCGCAGACCCATCCTGGACTACACAGTGGTTTTAGGCCAGGCTGAACTGAAGAACAGAACCCTAAGTTGGGTATAGTGTCACATGCCTTTAATTTCAGCACTTGGGAGACAGAGGCAGATGGATTTCTGTACATTCAATTACAGCCTGGTATACAGGAGGCTTTGTCTTTAAAAAGTTAAGACCCAGCCAAGGCTACACAGAGAAGCCCTGTCTCAAAAAAACATCAAAACAAACAACAACAACAACAACAACAACAACAACAAAAGACTCTTCTCTTGAAAAAAAAAATTGCGATCACATTTCCAATATCAGAACTGAAAAGTACCCCTCTCACATATAAAATGTTCAAACAGGGCCCGGGCGGTGGTGGCGCACACCTTTAATTCCAGGACACGGGAGGCAGATATCTGTGAGTTGGAGGCCAGCCTGATCTGCAGGGCAAGTTCCAGGACACTCACATCTGGTTACATAGAGAAACCCTGCCTCGAAAAACCAAAAAAGTTCAAACAGAAGCTGAGGAATGAAACTGCTTCATTATTCCCTTACCTTACAGGGATGCTTAGTGAATAGGTGTAATTTTACTCCTCATGGAAAAATAAACTGAGTCCCAAGACTCAACAGGAAAGGGAGTAAGTATCTTGATCAAACAAAAACCGCAAGGCCAAGGCCCAGTTTAATCCTTCTTTCCAGGGCCACGACAAACAAAATTAAAAACAATAAAGAAAAGTTTATAAATCGAACTTATGATCAAGTGTATGACTTTTCTCTGGCTATTTCAATAAGCAAAGTCAGAGAAAAACCCAATTTTTAAGTAGAAATTAATAGAAAACTCAATAAAACATTGGCTTATAGATTTAAGATCAACCTAAAGGCTAGCCTGGGCTAATTGAGATCCTGCCTGACCCCTGACCAAAAAACAAACAACAAAGAAAAAATTCAGGCCAGATATAGACACTGATGAGACAATATAAGACCATAAATGGTTCATATTTAGGAGAAATATAAGTGAATATAATAAAAAAAAAAGTTCCTAAGTTGGGCTATTTATCTTTTTCCTGGAGCTAAGGACCGAACCCAGGGCCTTGAGCTTGCTAGGCAAGCGCTCTACCACTGAGCTAAATCCCCAACCCGAGTTGGGCTATTTAAAACTACGTAAGAGAGATATACTCTAAACTTGAGATCTGTCTCCCAGTGGCATAATATTGATTTCCTCACAAATCACATTTCTGAAATTCTCTACTAAAAACATTAGAAGTTAGATATACAAACAAACAAAAACTATTCAGTAAATGAATACATTTACAGTGATTTTAATATTCTAGGAGTCCTAATTTTGTTTTAAAATTATTATTTCATGTATATGGGTACTTTGCATGTGTCTGTGCACCAAATGTGTGCCTGGTGCCCATCAAGTCCAGAAGATGGCATTGGATTCCCTGAATCTAGGATTACAGAGTTATGAGCTGTTATGTGGACATTGGGAATAGACCCTGGGTCCTCTAGAAGAACAGCCAATGCTCTTTATCACTGAGCCGTCTCTCCAGCCACCATGAGTCTTACAATGATTGAGAAATATTTCATTCTTTGAATTGCTTATCTGTATGTAATAGGAGCACCTGGAAGTGGTATAAGCCTGATGGTTAAAGTGGAATTTGAGGTCCACCAGGTATGGTTTCAAAATCTGCTGGTCTATTTGCTTATTAACACCCTGCTTCTTTTTTTCTGCCCCCCGAATGCTGGGATTAAAAGTGTGCGCCACCACCGCCTGGCCCCTGCTTCTTTCATTGAACCCCTCAACCTAACAGATGTGTTATGAGAACAGCACAATACAGCCTGACACTAATATTCTTCCATTATCATTATCATAATCATCATCATCATCATCATCATCATCATCATCATCATCATGTCTTAAAGTTATACACTCTGAAAAGTGTGTGTTCACTTTGAAAACCAGGAGAAAAATTCTATCATCCTGCTCTCAATGTAGATGATCTCAATGTAGTTATGTTACAGTTAAATTGCAATTCATGTGAACATATTTGTAAAACTAAAGGAAGAGGTTTGGAGAATGTTTGTCTAGGACATGTAAGGTCCTGGCTCCATTCTTAACACTACAACAAGAAAAAAAACAATAAAAAAAATTAGGCAGAGGCAAGTATCTAAAATGATTTCTTGAACAAGACAGACTCATTTTGAGAGTAAAATTCAACAGGGTACAGAGCTTAGAATTCCACAAGCTTTAGTAATGGTTCTGCTATTGATCACCACAATGAAGTGTCACTACCAACCTTGGATAACAAATTACAAATTTAAAACATTCTTTTGGCTTATGCTCCTAAGTTTGAGGAAACAGCAAAAAATATTCTTGGAGATCACTTCTACCAAAAGTTCAGACCAAGTTGCTTCTGGGAATGAGGCGGACCTGCAGACCTACAAGCACAGCCTACACAAAGTGAAACACAGACTGCATGTAGAAACCTCACCCAGTTACAGCTCACAAACTGCCTTCATTCCAGAGTTCTGACAATGTAACCAGGAAGAAAAAACAATGATGCCTCCTACCTGTCTTCTTGTGAATTCTTTCCAGATCGCCTCTTATTTTTAGCTTCTCGAGGAGAAGATCGAATTTTCTTAGCAGGAGGGCCTGAATCTCTTCCATAATCTTCATCTAAACAAGCAATTTTTCAAATTCAGTTAATTATGACGTTTACATGCTGAAATCACACATTACTGCTCATACTATTTAAATAAATGGGACCAGATTTCCCTCATGGTTTCTTTAATTAAAAGGGTAGCTGGAGAGATGGCTCAGTGGTTAAGAGCACATGCTGTTTTTCCAGAAGACCTGGGGTTTAACTCCCAGCACCCACATGGAGGCTCACAACTCTAGTTCCAGAGAATCTAATGCCCTCTTCTGGCCTCTACAGGCACCAGGCATGCATGTACATGAAGGCAAAACAAGCAAAAACGCACTCTAGAAAATTCGGGCTAGGAGTATTTATTACCTAACATGCAGGAGGCTAAGCTCTATCTCCAGTACCACAAAAATAAATAATTTTAAAATGGCCAGCAGGATGGCTCAGCAGTTAATAGCACTTGGCTGTGCAAACCTGAAACCTGATTTAGATACCCAGAAGAAAGTTTTCTTCTAATCTCCATATGTCCACACTCATACATACATATCACAGGCAAGCACATACAACTAAAAATAGAACTTTAAAATTCCTCCCCAGTCCCACCTATTTTAATCCCATTTTACACATTATTGTCTGGTCCTTATATACATACATTTTATACATTTATACCACAGCTTGTCATTTTATACCATTCCCATTTATTTTATGATTTTCCTATGTTTCAACATCTTCATATTTATTCAAAATTCTAGTAATATGGGTTTTATTATGTGTCTTAGAAAAAATCTAAAATCTATAATCTTAGATCAAGTAAATTAGTAAATTATTTTTTTTTTTTAAAGTTTTTTGAGACAGGATTTTTCTGTGTACAGTCCTGGCTGTCCTGGAACTTGCTTTGTAGCCCAGGCTAGACTCAAACTCACAGAGATTCACCTGCCTCTGCTTCGCAAGTGCTGGGATTAAAGGCATGCTGCTGCACCACCACCACCACCACCACCACCACCACCACCACCACCACCACCACCACCACCCCCAGGCATACATTACTCTTAAACTCAAGTATTAAATATATAATGCACTCCGGATACTTATAACTTTAAGAAAATACCTCCAATTGTAAAAGCCCCATAGGAAGACCTCACCTTAAAGCACCACTCCCACACACCACGGTGAGAAACTAGAAGTAGTGTGGACTTCAGTGACTATTGAATCACTGGATTCACTATGAATTCCTTAACAGAACATCCTAAGCATTATCAGCAACATTTATTTTAATTATGTGTGTGGAGGGTGTGTGTGGTTATGTGTATGAGCTCATGCATGCTGAGAACTGAATTCAGGTCCTCTGCAACAGTAGTATATGCTCTTAACTAGTGTACCATATTCTGCTGCTTAAAAATAACTAAAAGAAGAAGAAAAGAAAAATAGACCTAAGTGAGTGAGATAAGAGCAGTGCCCAAAATTCTACAGCATGACCCTTAACCACGCTGGGTAGTAGGGTGCACACCTTTAATCCCAGCACATGGGAGGCAGAGGCAGGCGGATCTCTGTGAGTTTGAGGCCAACATGGTCTACAGAACGAGTTCCAGGACAGTCAAGGATACACAGAGAAACCCTGTCTTGAAAAATCAAAAATGACCCCTAGCCACATTTAAAAACAAAACAAAACAAAAACCAACCAAATACTTATTTGTGTGTGTGTGAGCATGCCTGCCAGGTTGTACATGTAAAAGACAGGAGAACTTGCAGGAATCGGTTCTCTCCTTCCATCGTGTTCATTCTGGAGATCAAATTCAAGTTGTCAGGCTGGGCACCAAGGCCTTTGCCTGCTGAGCCATATTGCAGGCCCTTAACTACATTTTTAAAAGTCAAAAAGAAAAAGGTCAAAACAGCTACATGCCAGCTAAGGGACATAAGGATCAACTCTGCTTCAGTTTCCTTAACTGTAAAATGAAACAGGAGATTCCATAACAGTATGCTCTAAAAATCAACCCATTAAACACAAACATTTATAACAGTTCCCAGCATGTAGTACAATTAATTATCTTCCAAGCCTTCTCAAAGGGCACATTATCTTTATAAAGCAAAATTTGGAACTCAGCAGTTAAAGCCACTGATTGGTCTTCCAGATGACCAGGGTTCGATTTTCAGCACCCACACAGCAGCTCACAATGGCAATAACTCCAGTTCCAGGATCTGATGCCCTCTCATGTCCTCCAGAGCACTGCACACACTTGGTACACAGGCATAAATGCAGGCAAACACTCAAAAACATAAAATAATATTAAAAATTTAATAAAGTAAAATAAGGTAATAAAAAGATGCATATTACTTCATTATGCAAAAAGCGTAACTTCTTTAGGCACAGATTTTTCTGTGATAATAACTGCAACAATAGCACAATTTTCTTGTTTTTTATTTTTTAATTTTATTTATTTATATTTTATGTATGAGTACTCTACATGTATGCCTACATGCCAGAAGAGGGCATCAGATCCTATTATAGATGGTTGTGAGCCACATGCGGTTGCTGGGAACTAAACTCAGGTCCTCAGGTCCTCTGGAAGAGCAGCCATGCTCATAATCATTAAGCCATCTCTCCAACCCCCAATTTTCTCGTTTTTTAATCAGCGTCTTGCTCTGATGTCACAGCTGGTCTGCAATTCCTGGGCTCATGTGCTCCATTTGTCTCAGGTTCCTGAATAGCTGAATTATCGGCTCATACTACTGTGCTTAACTAGCAGTAGGCATTTTACATAAATAAATATTGCATCACAAATTACTGGACATTTAACCTTTGGATCCTAAAACCAGATAAGAAAAAAATCAGGTGTTTTTTTTCAATGATTTACAGAAAAAGCTAAATGCCAGGCATAGTGGCACACACCTGCAATCCGGCAATTGTGAGGTTAAGGCAAGAGCATTTTGAGTTCAAGGACAATCTAGGCTATGTAATAAACCTTATCTCAAAGAAAATGGGTAAGTTCAAGTTTTGTTTTCTTTGACACAGATCACTGGGTACTTTTAAAACCATGACAAGAAGCACATAAGCTGACAGTTCTGTCAGTACAACACATGACTTGTAAAAATCACAAACATACCTGCATCATCTGATTCCTGAAACTGTGAGTAATCAACGACCTTCCTATTTCTGCAGAAAGAGACAAATTTAGTAATTAAAAAAAAAATGTATGACTTCTAGGACATCAAGAATACACATTTTAGTGACATTGTAGAGGTGAACTGAAGGGTAAAATGCTAGAGCTTTATGCATCTCACACTCATCCTATAATACGAAACTCAATGGGGAAAATGAATACTTTTCTTATGTAAGAAATGGAAAACTGCTCTTGTATACTAGAAGACAAAGGCTTACAAAGGGAAATGTAATAATAAAATAGATTTATCAAACTATAAAAAAAAATACACATTTTAGTTTTACAAACAGAATAGTTCTCAAGCCAGGTGTAATGATGCATGCCTTTAATTCCAGTTCTTGGGAGAGAAAGGCAGGCAGATCTCTAAGAGTTTTAAGCCAGCCTGGTCTGCCTACACGGTGAAATAGTGAGACCCTGCCTCAAAACAATAACAACGAACAACAAAAAATAAAATAAACAGACAAAACCAACTCTCAAACTTATACCACTTACCTCAGTGACAGCTGAACACTGTTCTTCCCCAGGTTTACACTTCCCACCTCCCCAGAACAGAACAGGCAAGAGTTCACCACACATACATATTCACTATAAATAGACATTCTATACACATTTATTATACATTGCTATGGAACAATCTTTGTACACTGTAAATATGTGCTACTCTACTGGTTAATAAAGAGCTGACTGGCCTATATCTGGGCAGGAAGAGATTGGGCTGGAGAGCCAAACTAGGAGGACACTGGGAAGAAGGGCGGAGTCTGAGGAGTCACCAAGAGGCAGAGAAGCAGCATGGGAAGTACAAACATGAGGTAAATGAGCCTGGGGCAGCATACAGATTAATAGAAACAGGTTATAAGAGCCAGCTAAAAAACAAGCCTAAGATACTGGCTGAAAATTCATTAATTAGTATTAAGTCTCTGTGTGGTTATTTTGGAGAGTGGCTGGTGGGGCAGAAAAGTCTGCCTACAACACATATACATTCACGGGCGAAAATTTTAAGTGTTAGTTTACACATCCCACCCCACCTTCTTTCTGTATTAAACAGCCCTGGCTGTTCTGGAACCTGGTTATATAAACTCAAGAGATTCTCTTGCCTCTGCCTCCCTAGTATTAGGATTAAAGGTGTTTGACACCATGCCTGGCTGTTTTTATTTATTTTTTTTTTTTGTTTTTTTTGAGACATGGTTTCACCATGTAGCCCTGGCTGGTCTAGAATTCAGAGATCTACCTGCCCTGCCTCCTGAATACCCTACCACTTACCAGCCTTTTTTTTTGGGGGGGGGGATGATTTTATTTTTACTGTTATATACACAATCACTTGATAAAACAAGATTACTGCTAGGTAAAAAAAGTTTTTAAGATATAATATAGTTGTAACACTCCCAAATCATGATAAGACTAAGCCTTAGAAGAAAAAACTTTGCTGTAGTCAAAAGATGCTTAGAAAAAGGATGTGGTGTGTGTGTGTGTGTGTGTGTTATCTATTCACGTGCATGCATACCGCATATGTTCTGGTACCATGGAGGACAGAAGGCCTCAGATCCTCTGGAGCTGGAGGTAGGTGGTTGTGGGGGTGCCTACCTTGGGTGTTTGCTTTTTGTTTTGAGATAGGATCTCACTATGTAAAAAAAAGCTGACTTCAAACTCAGAATCCTCCTGCTTCCTCTGCTCAATTGCAGATGTGTACCATCACACATAACCAATGAATTCTGCCTTCTGTTTTGTTCTACGAAAACTATGAAATCTGGAGATGATTTTGAAGTATACAGGAGGAGGTACACAGGTCATATATAGCATTCGACATAAGGAACTTGAGAAGTGTACTTGGATGCCGGTGTTGTAGGGCTAAAGTACTTTTTTTTTTTTTTAAATGAACTCGTTCTTGTCAAACTAGAAGCTGAAAATCTACCATGATCAAAACCTAACATTTAAGAGGAGGATTACTAAAGTACAAGGACATGAGACAGTCTATTTATTCCTAGCCAAAACAACAGAAAAGTCTTGTCAGAATCCTAATACAGAGCCAGAAATGGTGACACACACACCTGTCATCCCAGCCCCCAGGAAGTGAAGGCAGTTAAGGTCAAGAGAGTCTGAGGTGGACTAAGCTACAGAGTCCTAGTTTCAAACTATTTAAATGCCAAATGGAACTAACTCTCCAGTTAAACAATAACTACCAGAAACGTGAACAAATACACCATTTCAACATAGCACAGATGACTGAACTAAAACTCAATCAGGGCTTGGCCACAAACTAGTTCTCTGTCCTTGAGTAAGGGATTCCCCCTCACTGACCACATTTTTCAACTGTAAAGCAGGAGGAATACAAACTTCTAGAGTGGGGCTGGAGACATTGCCCAGTGGCTAAAGTAGCTCTTGACCAGTTCCACTCCCAGCAGGTGGCTCACAACTCTTTTAACTCTAGCTTGAGAGAATCCTCCTCACTACTCTGGACTCCACATGCACATACCCACACATAATTAGAAAGATATATTTGCCTTAAATACAAAGGAAAGTATGTACCCTTTGGGCCAGAGTATAAGTCATTAGTAGAATGTCTTATTAGTGGCTCCCCACCCTAGATAAAATGGGGTGGGAATGCTTGTTTACAATGAACTATTCGGTCCTGAACATAGTAAGTAGTTTAAAGGTAACAGGATTTTAAAAGTGGGGCACAGCAGTACAAATTTATAATCCCAGCACTTGGGAGGTAAAGAGGCAGGAGAATCACGCCAGTATCTTCAGCTACACAGGTGAGCTGAAGGGCAGCCTGAGCTGCATAAGATGCTGCCTCAACACCCCCACAAAAGACAATAGGATTTTAATTATAATTATCAATTTCTTTCTACTAAATAGTGACAGAAGGTTGAGGGCTGGTAAAATAGGTAAGTACTTGTCACCAACTCTGATGACCTGAGTTCAATCTCTAGGACCAGCATGGTGGAAAAGAGAACGGCTCCCAGTTGTCCTCTGGCCTCCACAAGCACAATATGACATGTGTCCACCCACATGCCTATCACACAAACAAATACATGTAATAATTTTTTTTAAAGAATGAGAATGTTGGTTTCACATACCAGGAATATCATTTTTGTCTGCTCTAAGAAAAAAGTATTCTGTCTGAAGAATGAAGGAGTACATTGTTTTAGAGTTAGAAATTGCCATGTTTTAAAATTATTTCACTTAACTCCCTTAATTTTACGAGAAAAATGGAACTGAGGCCATAGAACTTAGCTCTGTTTTGTTTTCACAGACAGGGTCTCACTATGTAGCTCTGACTAGCCTGGAACTCACCACGTAGACCAGGCTGGCCTTGAACTCATAGAGAACCACCTGCCTCTGCTTCCTGAGGGCTGGAATTAAAATTGTGTACCACAATACCAAGCCTAGAATTTAATGTTTTGTAACAAGTCTGCACATCTGTCTGAAATCTTCGTAAGGAAAGCTGAATTAACAACACAGTCCATTGCAAATCCTATCTAATTATCAGGACCTTAAACTTTGCACCATGGAGAACATAGTCTTTTTAAAATTAAGTCTAAGTAAGAGACTTTAAAACAACCTACAGTTCAACCAATGCTTTACTGCACTGCTACTTCTATCCTAAAGTTAATTATTATAAAAAACTGACTTTTCTGGGGGCTGGAGAGGCGGCTCAGCAATCAACAGCACTGGCTGAGTTCAGATCCCAGCACCCAAGTCACGTGGCTCACAACCACTTGTAACTCCAGTTCTAGAGGGTCCAACACTCTCTGTTGGCACAAGACACTCAAATGGCACACGTACATATATGTTGGTGGTCAACATCTCATTTATCAGATGAATGAGATCCTGCAGAGCAATGCCTTTCAACTTATAGGCCACAAACCTGTTCCTGGGCCTTGGAGTCATTTATTGGTGCATAAACAGCATTTTAAAAGAAAAACAGCAAATAGAAAATAACAGAGAAAACTGTATTCTAACACATCTAAGCTCACAATCTTTCAGGCATTTATAGTCTTGTACAAAGCTGATTATAATCTACACATATTTCAACTGGAATTCTACCAAAGTAGTTCAAGAGCCATTTGGGGGGGGGGGGTGGAGCAGACTGCAGAGACACTTCCAGATTTTTGCTTTTACCTTTAGAAGAAAAATTGTTGATGACCTATGGCCACAAAAGTGGTATTTTTGTTTGTGGGAGTAAATGTCACATGTATGCAGGTACTCAAGCAAGAGCCCAGGAGGTCTGGGTGTCTACTCCCCTAGTGCTAGAGTTCCTGAGGGTTGTGGGGAGCAGGGTCCTCTGGGAGAACAGCAAGCTCTCTTAATTATTGAGACATCTCTTCAACCCTTCCTCTATTTTGGTCTAAAACTTGTGATCTTTCTACTTTAAGCCTCCTCTGTAGAGGAAATATGGAGCACACCATCAAACCTGGCTCAATATATTTTTCGTTTGCGACAGCAAGCTTCTTAAAGTTTAAACATTGTTAGCCAGGTGTGGCTGCCCATGCCTTTAATCCCAGCATGTAAGGGTCAAAGAGGCAGGGTTCTGAGGCTAGTCTGGTCTACATAGCAGGTTCCAGGACAGCTAGGGCTACGAGAGACCCTGTCTCAAAAAATAAATAAGTAAAAATAAAGACCTACCAGACTTTGGTAGTAGTGATTAGGGAGACACAGAGATCGATACTCAGCAGATTCTGTTATCGATACTGAATTCTAAACAATCTTATCCAACCTTGAATCTTGTCAACAAAATCCCAAAAGAGAACTAAGAAACACTCATGATCCAAGGTAAAATTCCATTCATTAAATGGTTCTTCCTAGGGAGTCCAAACCTGTCTCTACCATCTACTGACTAGGTCATGTAGTCTCACCTACCACAACTACCCTGTCTAACCCTATCCCTTTATCTCAGAGCAGCCCTTAACATTTATGCTAACCTCACTTTTCTCCTTCAGAGTAAATTTTGTGCAGTTGGTTGAATCTGTCTTCCTGAGACAGTCCCTACATA